CCCCCCCCCCCAGCGCAGCTTCTAATAACGGTACATAGTAAGAACGGACGGGGTGAAAACACATAATTCATCGCGGTGGTAATGATTTGGTTGGTGATGAGGATGGACACTTGGTTCCCGGGTTGTTTCCCCGAACCTTTCCGTGTGACAACGAATGCCAATTAATCCTGAACCCTTAAAATGGATGGGTTCGTTGTGGTATATATCGAAAAATTTATACTACGACAATGACGACGTCCACTTGTGCCGTTCTCCCTGGTTACCTCCAAACCTGACGCGCGTCTCCGGCCTCCGATCTCGATTGTTGCTGCTGGTTCGTTTTCGCGGCGGTTCTCGAAGGTTACATTCCTGTGGGCGCCTTGCTGCTCCGTGGACGGCGGGATCAGCGCCGCCGTACGGGATGCCCTAGGCTTCAGGAGTAGCACGTACGGTAGCGGCAACAACAACGACGGCGACGATGAAAACGACGATGAGAACGGCAGCCCCAGGCGCACCGTCATCTTCACGGCGTTCGGGGTCCACGACGCCACGGAGCTGCGCAAGGCCGAGAGGGACCCGGAGCTGAACCAGTGGTACCCGATGGGTCTCCCGCAGGAGGCTGTGGCGGCGCAAGGGCCGACGGCGGCCGCCCTCGAGACCTGCCGGGACGCCACCCGCGAGCTCGTCGAGGTGGCGGCGGCGGCGGCGGCGGCGGCATCATGGGCATCAGCCGGGGACGGCGGCGGCGACGTCGGCAATAATCCGTCTTTATCGGAGGCGACAGGAGAAGGGGGAGAGGGTCAGGTAGTAGTCAACGCGGACGGCAGGAGGGACGGCATCGCGGACAAGAAGCTCCGGGGCGGCGGCGGCGTGTCGTCCGAGGTGGCGGTGCACGAGTCGGACGGACACAGCAGCAGTAGCAGTAGGAGCACCGACGCCGGGGACGGCGGCGGCGGCGGCGGCGGCGGTGGTGCGTGGCCTCCTCCACCCCTGGTCTTCCTGCTGCAGAACAACCCGTTCAACCCGCGCAGCGAGCTGGACTACTTCCTGCAGCAGCTGCACAGGATCCAGGAGCAGGTCATAGACGAAGCTGCGGCGAAGCAAGGCTGCGAACAGCAACAACGAGGAGGAGGAGGAGGAGGAGGAAGGGTGTTCTTGCTGCGGGATAGAGATAGCCTGTACAGCAGCATGTCGTGCTACCGCATCGACGGCTCGATCCACTTCCACGAGCCGGTCAAGCTCGTCGAGGGGAAGATGCTGTGGCATCTGGTTGAGATTGCTGGGGCAAGCGGGAGCTAGAGGGGCATGATGCTCTGGCATCTGATTGAGAATTGCTGGACTCCAGTTGTTGCGTTTCGAGTGCGGCTTTGGTTTCGAGGGTCGGCTGTTGTGTTTTAGGGCCTGCGCTAATGCGAATGTCTCGTTTTGGCCGACGATCGTTTCTTATTATCTCTGTATAGGGTATATACCCCCAGAAGCGACTATATACAATGGGTTTAGTGTAGACTTTTTCAGTTGAGCACCTGTTGTTCTTACTCCCAACTTTTGAATTGTGTCTGTTTTGAGCCTGAACTTCGTATGTTGGAAGGCAATCGTTGTGGTGGCTGGGAGTAGGGGTTCTCTCGATATCCCCTTTGACTCGTATTTGGCTTTATTCTTTGGAGAATACACCCGACAACTGGGGAGATTTGTTGTGTGAGAACTCTCTCGACACCAAGAGACTACCTTGTTGGACACAAGATGACGCACGCCCTGGACCGATTTTCAAAGCTCGATTTTGTCAACAGCAGAAGAGTCGCAGCGCCGAAAACGGCGGCTTTTGAAACCGTCTGGTCGAGAGCTCTACCATACCGAATCGTTCGTGTATGCATGGTCTTTTGGTCTTAGCGTCATCGAGCCTTGAACATCGGCCCAGCGGGTGTGTTATCTTGTGTAGTATACGGTAGGTCGGTACCGTGGATGTCGTATTTGCATTTGCTGTTCTTGTTGTGGTTGTGATGGATGGGAACGGACGGTTATTTTAACGGTTAGTTTTGACTTTTTTTTTCTGCCATTGAATCTTGCGATGTTGAAAAGGGTGATACCACAAGTTAGGGAGATTGTGCGAGAGTTCTCTCGACCGCAAGAGACTAGTTTCTTAACAACGTGGATGTCGTATTTGCTGTTCCTTGTTGTGGTTGTGATGGCTAGGAGCGGACGGTTCTTTGAGCAGTTAGTTTTGACTTGTTTTCTCGTTTTTTTGTCTCGGAGGATAAGACCAAAAGCTGGGGAGATTTTTTCGCGCAAGAATGACGACTCGACACCGAGAGGTTAGGTAGGAAAAGCGGACGGATGTCGTTGTTTGCTGCGCTTGGTGGATGTTGCAGCCGGTTGCGAAGAATGTCTCTACAATGCTCGCCAAGAAAAAAATGGCCGAAGCGGGTTCCAAATACCTCGGAAAAAATTGCGCCCCCGAGTTATTCATGTGGCCTTGCAGAAAGCTCGAGAGACGAATGATATCCGTTTGAATGTTGCAGTGTGACGGAGGATGGTGTGGGGTATATTCGCGCAACCGTGCATGCCGTGGTCATTAGACGTCGCATCCCTTCAATGCCGGGACGGAGCGATTTGCTGGGTTTGAGCTCACCCAGGCTACGTTTCACAAGGATGGATGAGTCAGGACTTTATCATGCTTGCGTTTGCTGTGTCATGGGTTGATCGGGCATTCCGCCCGGTGGCGGGGGTAACCTAATGTTTTTCGTACCTTAGCGGTTAGATCATTGACCGCGCGTCCTCAAGTGGACGGAGCAGCATTGTTCCCACAGCAGGATCGATCACCGATGGTCATGAAGGGGAGGGGGGGGAGCGTCTTTGGAGATGTGTGGGGAGAGCATCACTTGTAGTCTAGCTTAAACACAGCAATCCGCCAGATAGCGTGGCCACGGTACTGGTGTGGTAACAGCCAGTTAGAGCGGGTGTTCGGTTTTTCACCATGCACCACGTGTGTTGGTGTAGTTTTTTTAATTATTCGCTGTTCCTGGTGCTGTGACCCGGATGTCAATCGATGCTGCCCGGGTACCCAAATTGTGCAGTCTATGCATATACGTGTGTAAGGTACGTACAAAAGCGAAGGGGCGGAGCATGGATGGCCACCACCATACATCACAATGGCACCACCGTGAGTTCTTCGGTGCTACATATCAGTCCCTGTTTTTCAATGCATCTCAACCGCACCAGGTCTTCGACGAAGACCACAGTTAGCGCCACCCACTTGGAAATCTCTAATTTCGGCCGAGGGTGGGGTATTTGGTTCCTAGGGATGTGCTGCCAATGGCCGCCATATAGGTTCTAGCGTAGGGGTTCACCCTCACGCTCTAAGGTTTTGACCGCTTATAGGTAGTATGGTAGGGGCTCTTAACCGAGAGCTCCCTAGACTAAGCTATCAAGTTTTGATATTTTTCGAGGCTACATCGATTTCTTCTTGACTTCCAAGTTCTTCAGTGCGGGCGAACTGCTGGACATTTCCATGGCAGCAGTAGTAGCAAACTTTGTGGCGAGGGGAAATCGAAGGCAAAAAAAAAAAAGGGGGCGCTACCGTTCCTGAAAATATTGTGGGGCCTCAATCCGCGTGGTGGGGACATAAGTAGTCGTTGTTAGTAAACTTGATCGACTTCGTAAGTCGCGAGGGAAGAGATTGCTGTACCCTTCTCGCGATACAAATATCTCAGGCAGGAACCGTAGGAGGGGGTCCACCCCCCCCTTCCTATGTGACCCCGGTTGGGTCGTCGAGCTGGTAGAAGTGAGTGGAGGATGGGGGCCAGACGGGCACGAGAAAAAAAAAAAAATAGTCTAAAGTGGTAATTTTCAAGGACCCGATTTTGGTTGTCCCTCTCTAACTTTTGACTGAGAGCGAGTAAAAGAAAAAGAAAAACAGCCTCGGAACGCCCGCGGCAAGGCGCAAAAGAGTAGCGAGTCGCCAAAAAAAAAGGAAAAAAATGGAAAAAAAGAAAAAAAGATGCTCGCGGCGGGTCTCGAACCCACGAAATTGGCCCTAGAGCAACTTTTCCCCCATACACGTTGCTAATCCTTTTTTTTTCGCACCAAACCACCCACACGTGCACAGGAACGCCCTCAAACACTATGCAAATGCCTCTACCGCACCTATAGCGTACATACATCACAAAAATTGGCCGTTTTCAACAAAAATGTTCCATTTTTGTACAAAATTCCCACCAGAACCACGGAAAAAAACTGAACAAATACAGCTCAATGAACAAGAATGCGCCATCGACTCTACGGCCTCCATTCCTTCGGGGTCGGGCGCCTGTGCGACTTGTACTTCTTGTACGTCTTCTTGCCCTCAGGCCCTTGCACACGCGTCTCGCGGTACATGAGGGCGTGTGTGTACGCCTTCTTGCAGTAGCCCTGGACTACCGAAACAGCCTGTCTATCCTTCTCTGGTCTAAAACTCAGCGGCACGTTCTTGCGCAAGCATTCCAACGAATATTTGCAGTTCTTTCGAGTCCAGTCCTTCGCTCGGCCCCAAACAAGCTCGATGGGGTTACACCCGCAGTGGTACTTAGGAAGCATGAGACAGGCCCCCGGTGACATTCTCCATATGAACAGGTTGAAGCGGGACACACAGCGGAGGAGAAAACCGATCACAGGAGCCGTAGAATATTGGAAGATCGTGCGTCTTCCGCCTCCGCTGCCTGTTTTTGCGCTTGCGTTCAAGCATGTGAAACGGCTACGAGACTTCACACGTGCACTAGAGACGTCGCAACCTTCAGAGTGCTCTTCGATGGAGCAGTGGTGGCGGAGTTTAAGTTGTAGGGCAGTGTACTGCAGTGTTGGAAAATNTCTATCCTTCTCTGGTCTAAAACTCAGCGGCACGTTCTTGCGCAAGCATCCCAACGAATATTTGCAGTTAGTTCTTTCGAGTCCAGTCCTTCGCTCGGCCCCAAACAAGCTCGATGGGGTTACACCCGCAGTGGTACTTAGGAAGCATGAGACAGGCCCCCGGTGACATTCTCCATATGAACAGGTTGAAGCGGGACACACAGCGGAGGAGAAAACCGATCACAGGAGCCGTAGAATATTGGAAGATCGTGCGTCTTCCGCCTCCGCTGCCTGTTTTTGCGCTTGCGTTCAAGCATGTGAAACGGCTACGAGACTTCACACGTGCACTAGAGACGTCGCAACCTTCAGAGTGCTCTTCGATGGAGCAGTGGTGGCGGAGTTTAAGTTGTAGGGCAGTGTACTGCAGTGTTGGAAAATGGGTAATTCTATTTACGACACCGGTGTCGTAAATAAGAATTACGACACCGGTGTCGTAAATAGAATTACCCTTCACACATCGTAGAGGCGATATTCTATCGGAGACAAAGCAATCACTATTGTTATTCAAAACGGAGAACGTACGTACTTTGTAAGAGGCAGCCTGATTCAAAGGAGTAGCTTGACAGCAAAAGAACGTTCTGAGCGATCATCGCACCAGCAATAGCTCCAGCATACCTCTATGTCACCTTCTCCTCTCGCATGCAAGAGAACGGTATTTTGCGATCACCACACTAGCAACAGCTCCAGCTACCTCGATGTCACCCATTTCGCTCTCGGCGACCGCAAAAACAATGGCGGCTACGTTCGTCCATGCATCTATGGGGATGTGGGCGGTCTATCGCGGACCCAGCTCTGTCTTTGAAGCCTTGTGTTCCCGCCGACATGATATGCCCCAGCAGGGACTGGACACGATCGCGGGATGTACATCGCTCAAAATGTGTGGTCAGGAGCGCATGCTGATGATCGATTGCCGGCGCTACTTTTCGAACAGATATGAGGACCGACGGTTGGATGTTGGCGTGCTTCCTCGTGCACTATTCGCACTATGAACGGGTCGTGGCTTTTCCATGTGAGTCAGTCTCCTTGGCTTGGCCGTATTTGAAGTTGTCGAAAAACGCGGTAGTATTCTTTCCACCAGCATACTTCGGGATATTTTCAGTGTCAGCACGGGAACGGCTGAATCCGTCGGTAGTGCCTTCTTGTTCAGTCTTTGAAGAAGGGCATAATCTTTTTTCGAGAATTTCTTGATTGAAGACGACGCACCGGATTTAGCTGACTTCATGATGCGAGGGAAATGTTTGGAGAAGTGATCCAATCTGCACGCCATCCTTACAATGTTCACAATGTTTACAATATTTGTTCGGGTCGGCAGTGTTTTTGTTCCTCTGCCGCATCTTCCACTGAAACGCCGTACACGATCAGCATGATGTGCACCACTTACTTCAACTTCCCGATCTATTGAATATTCAAATTTCAAGTTACTTTTCCTCCTTAATCCACTACTATGTATGTTGGAATTTCACTCGAGTCTTAACAATCATCCCTCTCGAGAAAATGTCGTCACCAAATTCTCATTCAGCCAAAAACCAAGAATCATCCTTAGAAAAATACTCCGCAAAGTTCAACATTACATCAGAGTCACGTCATAAAGACTTTGGACGGACAACTCCGGAAAAACGTGTCAACTATTACTTCGGACAAGATCCTCGCACAAAACTATGTTTCAGCTCATTGACCAATCTCAAATAAGCTTCGGAAGCGCATAGGCCTCAACCATGTCTTACCAAAATATGCCAATTCCTTCCTTCAATATATCATTCAGAAAAACCAAAATACCAAATACGGCAAAAGAGACAAAGGATAAAAACCCGGCGCATACTAAAACGCCAGAGGAAACTTTCACCAACTAAGCCGTTTCTCAAACAAAGAGAAAACATCAATTTCTGAGCAGCCCCTGGCCACAATATCTCCCAAAACATGAAAAGCTTAACAGCCCCCTTGCTGCGATAACTCCCGAAACAGAAAATGCAAGCCATCCAGCATTTCGTCTGGATTGCAAGACACAGAATACAAAACATATACCGATTGACATCTCCCCTTCAACATATCTCCGACCATGGAACTCAATCCGCCCTACAGCAATACATGCAAGGCACAACTCTCGAATACTAACAACGAGAAAACAAGCAAATATAATGAACTTATCTCCGAAAGCCGCAGGTAAAACGCGGAATGGGAAACAAACACGAAATTCTCCTCATTTTCCGCAGGTAAAACGGGGATAACGTTTACAAAATGAACAAAAACCAAACCCGAACGTCTGCTAGAACGCTGCTTGTACTGCGACGAGTACCATGGCATCACAATCACATCCNAGCAATACATGCAAGGCACAACTCTCGAATACTAACAACGAGAAAACAAGCAAATATAATGAACTTATCTCCGAAAGCCGCAGGTAAAACGCGGAATGGGAAACAAACACGAAATTCTCCTCATTTTCCGCAGGTAAAACGGGGATAACGTTTACAAAATGAACAAAAACCAAACCCGAACGTCTGCTAGAACGCTGCTTGTACTGCGACGAGTACCATGGCATCACAATCACATCCATCCCCCCCCATGATTTTCGACAGCAGTGCTAGCAGTGGTCCAACGATATCAACTGAACCATTCGGCGTGCTGAATTCTTAGATTATCCAAACTCAATGCCCAACATATGAAAATCACAATGTAACCAACCATCCATGCGCAACGCAACTCTAAGTCTACGTCGACACAGTTCTCAAACTCATGGTTTTCGACAAACAAAACAAAACCAAACCTAGAAATAACCCAAACACAATAATTCTCACAAACGTGCCTGAACCGCGCGTAGATCCAGAGCTGCGTCGTTGCAACCATCGGTCATCCCCCACTGAAGCTCCCGATCACAAAGTCTCTCACTTTCTCCTCTGGAGATCCCGATCACCAAGTCTCTCACTTCATGCCGCACACTTCTGCCACGATCGATCCTCCCTTCCTGGCATTACCCCCCATCGTCCCGCACGACGTAGATGCCATTGCTCACGGTCGGATGGGCGCCGGGATGCCTTGCACCGGCGGACAACGCCCCGATGCCGCCGTCACCGCTGCCGTCGCTGCTGTTGCCACCTTCGTCGCCATGGCCCAACCAACAGCTATCCTCATCGCACTCGTCCTCCGGCTCTTGCGCTGCTGACGCTTTAGCCGCAATTGCCTGCGTCCCAACCGGCTCCCACACCGCCGCCGCGGGGAAGACTCTGCTGCCGGGGGTCGCCGCTCTCGCCGCCGGTGCTGCCGTCCATGCCGCTGCTCCCGCCGCGAGTGCCTGCGCCCCGGCCGTCTCCCCTGCCGCCGCCGCGGGGAAGACTCTGCTGCCGGGGGTCGCCGCTCTCGCCGCCGGTGCTGCCGTCGATGCCGCTGCTCCCGCCGCGAGCGCCTGCCCCCCGACCGTTCCCCCCGCCACCATAGTGGGGAAACCACCATCAACGGTCGCCGCTCCTGCCGCAGGTACTGTTCCCCATGCCACCGCGCCAGCTGCAAACACGGGGAGCAGCGCCTCCTGTCGATGCCTTTGCCTCCTCCAGCGTCGTCGCTTCCGCTGCTGGTGCGGCATAGCGTCGTTGCCATTCGCGTTGAGACCCTCTCCGTCACCGACGGGCACGTGCTGTTGCATGCGGTCGATTGTGCAACACATGCGGCGCCGATGGCCATACTCACCGCAGGCAGTGCAGTTGCCTTCAAAGCGTCGTGGCGCATTGCAGTCGCCAAGTGAATGTCCATGCCTCCCGCATCTCACGCACTGATGGACGGCACCCATCAGAGCACCCTGCGGCGAAGCTGACTCCTCTTGCGGGTACACAGCGTTGCGCCCACAGTCATAGAGCCCCCCAGATCCCCACGTCGGGAAGTTAGGAGGTGGGTAATGTGCAGGTGGTGGCTGAGGACGAACCCACTGCTGCTGCTCCCGCTGTTGCCGCCACCGCCGTTGTAGTCCCCCCTGACCGTGGCCACCATGATCGGACCCAAGCCCACCAACCGTCACCGCTGCCGCCGGTGCCGCCTGCGCTTTGCCCAATTCCTTCATCATGACCTTGTTGGCGTATGCCGCGCGAACAACGTTTTCCACCTTCGCTCGGGAAATGGTGGGGTCGGCCAGGATGGACTTGCGTTCGATATCGTACTCGTGCGCAAGCTGGCGGACAATGATGTGCACGATAGCCCGCTCAGATTTTTCGATGCCGACAGCTTTCATGATGTTGATCACTCCGTCTACTCTGGCGAAGAAGAGTTTCGGGTCCTCGCCGGGATGCATCTCAATCGTCTCAAGTCGCCTCACAAGCAACGTCTTCTCAGCGTCAAGAGTAGGCAACAGCCATTCGTGGATCACGCTCCACGCCTCAGGGACGCAGTCGCAAGCACCCAACCGTTCTTCAATGTCCGTGCCGCAGGTTGCTTCCAACATGTACCCCCACGCCCGCTGGTGAGCTGCCACCAGATGTGCACCGTGAGTCTGGTTCAGGTATGTGCGATCCAGACAACTGATAACGTTGACATAACCAGTAGATGGCATGTGGTCAAGGGTTCGCTCCAAATCCTCGACAGCCAGGAAATTCCGCATTCTCCGAAGCCAGCTCACGGCCTTCGTCGAATTCGTCGGGATTTTGGGCGGGTTGCGACTGCTGCTGTAACCGCTCAAAGCACAATTTCCGTCATTTTTCATGCTCACCCGTTGTGTACCGAGCCCAGCTCCACCAGCTGCCCCGGCAGTCGTTCTTCCGGCAGCCATTGCTCCTGCCGGTGCATCGTTCTTCTCCCTTAGATGCCCATATTCCATCTCCGTCCAGTCCTTCTCCCATATGTTCTTCCTCCGCCTAATTACGCCGCAAAAAAAAAAATGCGGCACGATGTATCTCCCACTGTCTTGTAGCTAGACTTGTTCTTGTTCACGTAACTGGATCTCCTTGGCACGCTTACCGCTGCTGCCCTTGTATTCCAAATGCTGTCCCTGGATCTCCTTGGCGCGCCTGTCGCGGCTGCCCTTGTATTCCAAACTCTGCGGATCTCCTCGGCGACGCGCGCGGGTCCTCCCTGCTGCTGCTGCCGCCCTTGTCTTCCGGTGCCTACCTCCCGAACCTTTCCCAACCGACGTCTGCAGACTCACGATATCGTGTTTGTGGTGTCGGTGCGTGTGCTATGTTATCACGCTCGCGGGCTCTTGTCGAAAGCGTTTGTGCACAAAGGATTGACTCAAGTTCCTTGATTATTAACGAGTGACAAGCATGAGCAGCAGGCAAGAATGACATGCTGCTGCACACACCTCTGCATATACCTAAACCTATCATATCTGCGTACCTCCTCGGATATCTCGGAGATCTGTACCCTGCCGGGTACGTACACAAACAGAAGCTCGGCGTCTCACGCCCGAAATGGATACAGACACAACGCGAGCCATGCGGCGCGACAAGTAGATGAAACTCTCATACCATCGGAATGGATACTTACGGGTTGGTCAACCCGAACACGAGAAAATTCTTCGCCATAATAAAAGTGCTATCCTTACCGCCGTTGCAAGTTAGCTGCCTCCGCGCCTTCCGGCCGAGGCTACCGCCCCTTCCCGGGGTAGTGTGGGTTGAGGTTGGGGACTACAACATGTTAATCCAGGACCGATATTCATGACGTAAAACCTTGAGTTTCACACACCGTGCTCGTTCCAGCACACAGACATGGGAGAGTAAGCACAAACAGAGAAACACACATAGAGTCTACATATCATTTGCGTGCTCTTTCTCGCCAGTGTTATTTGGTTTAGGAAATTTTTTTTTTTATGCGCCGCTGGCGCGCAGAACTTATACACAAAACACGCCTCCTCCCGAAGCCTTAATCACTGGGCGTCAGTATCCAACTGGCGAGAGGCCTGACGGAGAGGTGNTTTCACACACCGTGCTCGTTCCAGCACACAGACATGGGAGAGTAAGCACGATCAGAGAAACACACATAGAGTCTACATATCATTTGCGTGCTCTTTCTCGCCAGTGTTATTTGGTTTAGGAAATTTTTTTTTTTATGCGCCGCTGGCGCGCAGAA